GCCGTCCAGACTTTTAGCGGCCCGGTCAGCAGTGCTGACCCTAGCCGCCAGGGTCCCTTTTTGACTGGGCATTCCGGTCGAAAACTGGATGCCTGGCAACCCTAACTTTCAGTCAGCAAGGGATTGCTGGAGGCTGCGGGTGGTTAAACTGTTATTGGCAACGATGTTCTCAAAAATAAGATCTTGTGGTGGGATCTGCAAGGAAGGAACCTACGTCATTTGATAAGGAGGGAATAACAGAGCCTTTGTTTGGCTTGAATGGGACGTGCCTGCGTTTACACACACACAAAAAATTTCCAGACGCTCCAAGCACAGCCTTTTCCAGCCTGGACCTCACTGCAGGTTTGCACCCCCACCTCCCCTGTGATCTGCATTTCCTTTGGTCTTGGCTGCTCTGAGGAAAGCTTTTATTTTGCCAGTGCAATTTACTCTATGGTTTTGTTGTCTCGGCTTGGCTGCAGAAGGTGTCCTGGTATCTGAGAAACACACCCCGTATAGATTAGATCTCAGACACATCGGGGCATATGGCACAGGCTCATTCAAAAAATCAGCTGCTCTGTAACGTATCACATTTATAGTGTCTATAAGAGAGATTTCCTTGTGCCCTGTGGAAGACGGAGCCCAAATCTGGGAAAGCCATTCACTTTTCCTGCATATATTTTATCTGCAGAATTTGTTACTGCAGGAGATCAGAGACCAAGAACTGCAGAGGAGCTAAAAGGGAGCATTCATTGTTAGAATGAGGGTAACAGCTAGAGGCCCCAACCAAGATCAGAGGCCCATTCTGCTAAGCAGTGTACTTACACATAGCAAGAGACAGGTCCTGTCCTGGAGACACAGGGAAGTGGAACTGAGACCCAGAGAAAATAAGTGACTTGCCCAAGTCATACAGAAAGTCTGTGATAGAGCTCGGAATAGAACCCAGAGCTCCTGAGTCCTGTATTTCAACCACAGGACCATCCTTCCTTCTTCCTAGGCCTTGCTTTACAGTGTGAATGTAACTCACCCATGTTGGGATGTGGGGAGTGGGTTAAAATGAAGAAACAAGATCACTATAAATAGCTTAAATAACTCCTATTGAGTCCCTTATGTGTGCAAAATTCCCACTCTAACACAAAGGGTCTGAAGATTAGGGTTTAACTGATCTTCTGACACCCATGTTAGCTGCAGAAAAGATGAGCCCGAGAGAGATTACGTGAGTTACTTGCCCAAGGTCACTGTGCAAGTCAGTGGCAGAACTAGAGATAGCCACTCGGAAGTCTGGGTTGCCCTTCCCATGTTCTGACCACAGGACAGCACTGCCCTCACGCAAATGCAAAGTTTTGGCAATGAAGATTTTGGAGTCACTGTAATACTAAATATAATAACCTACCTCTTATAGAGCGCTTTTTGTCAGTAGATCTCAAGGAGGTCAGTATCGTTATCCCCATTGTACCGATGGGGAAACTGAGAAACAGATAAGGGAAGTGACTTGCATAAGGTCACCCAACAGACCTGCACAGAGCTGGAAACAGAACCCAGATATTCTAGGTTCTGTCCAGCATTGTGTGAGCTCTATCCACTAAGCTGCACTGCCTCCCCAGACCTTTCATGTTCTCCACTGAGAGGCTGCAGCAGCATCTTTAGAGTTGAGGATCCACTGGCATTCCCACAACAAAGCCCCATAATATTTACCTAGGGACTTTTCTTGTCTAATCAACATGCAAAAAGGAACAAAATTTTTATTTTCACCTTCCATATTTAAAACATAGTCTATGCTCTGAGCCCCCCTGGCTGAACAATGCAGCAGGCTGAGTGGGTACAGGGAATCATTTTTCCCAGGCTCCTGCAGACAGCTAGGCACCAGTAAGCAACTTAAGGACTGAGAGATGTCTTAACTCTGAAATGCTTTGCTTTTGTTGGTTTGAGTCAAAGCCATAATCTATTTAGATAACGTTGCTAATGCCTCAGTTCAACATTCAACCATTTATTCTGGCCCCAGAGACCAAGGCACAGAGCAGGGGAAACATTTTTCAAGGGAAACCTGAGTTTTTACTAGTTGATCAAAAAAGAAACTGGTCTATGGGAGATGGGGAAAAGAAAGTTACTTAACATCTCTAATTAACAGAAATTTGGTCCCCTCAGGCAGCTTTAGCACTGTCCAGCAATCAGCATCTAAATCAGATTTGTTAGACAAGACTAGCCCAATTCACCCCTGGTTGTTGCCACTAGAGAATATAAAAGGTTGCCCATTTTAAAACTAAACAGGGCACTAGGAAATGTGCAGTAGGGAGCAACACCTCAATGGAAGGAAGATGGATTTGGGTGGCCCTATAGGTCTTTCGAATCGCGAGCTTTCATGAGTCCATGCAGACGGCTTAGATAGTAATATGCTGTGCATTTCTGTAGCACCTTTCAGTCAAAGCATATGCCAGACTCTCCAGGCACCCCTCTGCTCTGGATATTATAGCATCCACATCAGAGATGAGCAAACAGGAAGGGAAAGGTTCTGCGGCTTAACCAAAGCCTACCATTTAGAGCAGGGGTAGGCAACCGGCGGCACGCAAGCTGATTTTCAGTGGCACTCACACTGCCCGGGTCCTGGCCACCAGTCCGGGGGGCTCTGCATTTTAATTTAATTTTAAATGAAGCTTCTTAAACATTTTAAAAACCTTATTTACTTTACATACAACAGTAGTTTAGTGATATATTATAGACTTATAGAAAGAGACCTTCTAAAAATGTTCAAATGTATTACTGGCACGCGAAACCTTAAATTAGAGTGAATAAATGAAGACTCGGCACACCACTTCTGAAAGATTGCTGACCCCTGATGTAGAGCAAGTTAGAGGCACAACCACAAATGAAACCCCAGAGTCCGGACTGCCAGTCCTTTGCTCTAACCGCCCATCCTCCATGAACCCCAAGAGCTAGGCGCTACGAAGGAAAAGCTCTACGGGCCTGGCAGAGAAAGTTGCCACACTGTCTTATCCATGCAGGGATACACAGTACTATTTGCTCCACACCCTTTGGGGAGATTCCAAAAGTGAAGCTCACTCTAGGATTGCTTATGCTGTGTGGTGATATTGGGCAAGAGCACCTGTGATTTGTTCCAGCCCTGTTGGTTCAGCAACAGCCATGGTACAGCCTGTTCTTACCTTTCCTTTGAAATACAGCCTTTTATGAGCAGACACTCGGTCACTTCTGTCCTTCCTCTGTACCGTGCCCCACTTGCAGCAGAGAGAGAGTGAGAGAGAATTTCAGCTGTGGGGCAAGTCACTGGGTTGGGACTCACCAGTTCTTCTTTTCTCAGGGTTACTGTTTTGCCCCAGCCATACATGGGCACAGAGGAGCCATCTTCACTGCTGGTCAAAGCTGGGTAAAGTGGAACCAGTCCTAGCAACGCTTCTGGTGCAGACACATGGGGAGTTTTAGAAGCTGTTGGGCTGGGCTTATTGCTGTGCAAAGAGCAGAGGGGAGAAAGGAACACTTTGCAGCCTACACCCTGTGTGAGCTGCTAGAGCAGTGTGGCAGCTTTACCAGAAGAGCCTGCCCACGGTACGTTTTGTTATCAGGATCCTTTGGGTGAAGCGGTTCAGAAATAAACAGAGTTGAAGAATGTTTTAAACCAAAAAGTTCATTCAGGCTAGAAGCCCTGCACTGAGTGTCTTAGGCAGCAGCTTCACCTCATTACCACAACCCATTCCACCTGTTTCTGGTCAGCAGCACAGCCTAGCAAAGATTAACTCCTTGTCTGCCAGTGCTGGGGCAGGCCTCTGTACCCTAAGATACCTCAGAAAGCACCATTGCAGATCATCAAATAGGCTTTCCATCAGCCCACAAGCTGGTGTTTCTGCATAGGAAAACTTTAAAAAAACTAATGTCTCCTTACCCATTTAGGTCCCCAATCCTTCAAAACTGAAACATGGGAATTACTTAATGCAGTTGAAGACAATGGGACATGCATAATTTTATACAGGTCAGCGGATATTAAAGGTTACAGGATTGGCTGGAAGCTATGTTCTTTATCCCCCAAGCAGGATAAGCAGCAAAGATTGCTGACTCACCCATGCATGGCCTTAGGACTGGTGTAAGATTTTCACTGGCTTTGCATTTCTCTCGCAGACATCATGATTTCTCAGCACAAATAAATCCATATTCATTGTAACTGAAAAATGCACATAGAAGACCCCTGCTCTCTGGGATAAAATGTACATTTGGATAATGAAACATGATGATCTACATGTTTCTCATGCAGATCAGGACAGCTTGGTCTTGGGGACAGGACTGGGAATCAGGAGCCCTGGATTCTATTTGTGGCTCTATCACTGACCTGCTGGGTGACTCTTGGGCAAGTCATTGCATTGCTCTGTGCCTCAGTTTCCCCTCCAACCCTTTATCTGTCTTGCCTATTTAGAATGTAAACTCTTTGAGGCCAGGACTGTTTCCAATTATTGTATAGTGCCCAGTGTGATGGGGCCCTGATCTCAGCTGGAGCCTCTGGGCAGTGCCATATTACAAATAATAATAATGGAAAAGGCTACCTTTATGCAGCTTGAAATTAATCCTTAGCAAAACACACACAGGTGCAATTACATCTGACTCAAATCCAAAGCCCCAGTCCTGCAAGTCAAAGAGGTGCCCCTGTGGATCAGCTTGCAGCATCCAGCCTAAGACATTTAGCAAGAAATAATATGTGCATTATAGACAGCAGATAATCAACCATTAAGAGGGTGTGAGAGTTTAATTCGAGGGGGCGGAGGGGAAGGATTTTTTGAACATATGATACATGTTTTTCACTTGCTCTGAATCCGTTTGCTGAAAGAAAGAGAGAGAGAGAGAGAGAGAGTGTGCAAACTAGCAAAGAATAAGAAACATCTTTTACTTATGCTATTTCTACTGGCAAGCAACTTCTTAGAGGAAACACATTCTTTTCTTTGTCCAGGCAGTTAACTGAGCCAGACACAGTTGCCAATGGAATAAACAGTCCATTGTTTCAAGAATACAACAGAAAAGTTGGGTTCAATTCTCAGCTCTTTTTACTGACAGTATTTACAGATCTGTTTGTAAAAAAGAAAACAAACAAAACTTAAAATCAATAGTTTTTGTATTTTTACTTGACTTTAGTGCTGGTGAAAAGGGCCTGATTGACAGAACTTGAAATTGAAATCCTTCTGGTTAAGCATAGTATGATCAGGCAGAAAGCAGCCTGTCCCCACATCCCAGACACCTGTGAGTCTCAGTCTTGACAAGGAATGGCAATAACCTTTAGTAGTGAGAGGGTATGTCAGTTTTCCAGGCCCATTAGTCCTCAGCCCCAATGCTGAAGCTGCCAAGAATGGAGTCTGTTAATGCCAATGGTGATGGTGTGTCCCCTACTCATTGTACACGGGCCACCAATACATGGATCATATAGCGATGTCTGTGGTCAGCCACCAACCTGGGCTTCATTGGAATCCGAGACATAGAGGTGAAAGCCAGTGAGCCAGCCAGTCCCCTTTCTTCATTTAAATTTCTTTTCCCTTTACACATACCTGCTCCCTCATCCCGCAAGGCTGTGCCCAGGGCAGGGCTGTAGCTGCTATAACAACACTGGTCCTACTGATAGAGGCCTCCACCTGCAACTAGCCAAACTGTGGCCTGCTGGTCAGGAGTCCAGGAACCACAAAGGCTACAGGCAGCAAATATTCATGGGGACTGGCTCCATCCGACAAAGTGAATCCAGACATAAGTAGGTCTGTTGGACTTCACCCTTTACTGAATGATATGTGACTCCTGACCCACACAGAATGGGCTTGGCTAAAACCACTTTTTCCAAGAGAACAATCTCAAGCTCAAGAGGAGGTAGAGATTGCTCCTGGCCTTAACACTTCAGTGTTGCTGAGAGGCCTTTTCTTTGTTCTTAAGAGTGAAAATCTTTCCCCTGTATGTTTTTTTTATATATATATATATATACACAACCCCCTATTACTAGGGAAGGCCAAACATCTATTAGCAGGACTGAGGTTTCTTTCCTGTATGACAATTTTTTGGATTCTTTTAGGAATGCTTTGATATCTACATATTTCCAAGGCCTCATGGTGGGTAACAATGCCAGCTCCTTCCACGTGGCTTGACAATACTGTTGCAAGCACTCAAAGTGGGGTGAGTTGTCTAGAGCAGTGTCATATGCTCTTGTACACACACATATCACTCCCTTCACCTTCAACTAGTGCCTCCAGTCTATGGGAGCCAGATACCAGAGGATTCACTGCAAAACTACACATATGCTGAGGCGGGGGGGGGGGGGGGGGAGATAGTAATTCAACTCCAAGTCTATTCACATCTCAATACCAGACTCCACCTGGAAAGCTTTACATACAAGTTCCACAAGAGCATTAAACATTGAGAGGATATAAAGCACAAGAAGGGGCATTAACTTACTAATGTTGCTGAGAGAGGAAAAGGCTGCACTTAAATACAAAGATGAGGCTAAACCAAACGATCACAGCGAAAGACATTACAACTTCGGAGGTGATGGTAGTCAGAACCCAGATCCCTATATTGTAATGGGCCCAAGCCCCTGCTGGAATTTGAGTTGTTTGTAATCTGGATCCAGGTTTTTCTGGCTTGAGCCCATATCTCATTAGAAGCAATTCAGTTGCTATATGGCACTTCTTATTTTTTACATATAACAATGAGAGCACAGAACCAGAGTAGTGGTACATGGGTGGGACTTGCAGTTTTGGGGCATTCACTTTTGTAGTTCAGAGGATGGTAAGGGGAGGCCATTTCCTCACTTTTTGGAAGTGTCTCTCACGCAGACAGCCCCTGATTCTCCACTGGGAGGCCTGGAAGCGAGGTTAATAGCATGTGTCTTTAACAAGAGACAGTAAAATGCTCCATCGGCTCATGAAGAATTAAACTCCCTCCCTGCTCCCTTCCCTTCCAAGTAAAATCAGTATCAAGCCAATTTCTTACAAAGCTGACATAGCTCTGAATTTCCAAATATCTTCCCCATCCCTTGCTTGGGTGGTTTGACTGCTGATCACATCCCATTCTCTTCTGCTAAAGGAAGAGCAAAGAACCCTAGCCCTGTATTAACCCCTAGAAGCTCCTTGCTAGGATAGGTCAACACAGTGCTACGTTAGCTCTGGGGTTTAGAGTGCTTTAGAGTGGGACTTTGGAGTTCTTCAGATAAAAAAGGGTTATATTTTCCCAGCCATCCAAGGGATAATCTCTCCCTTACCCCCTGCTCCTGTCTCTTCTCCCCCACCCCCCTTCAAATCATGATAATAAGGCAGTCACCCTGGCACATTTCACAGTTCCGTGTCAGCAACAATGTGCTGCCTGGCTGAATGTCCATTTTTTGAGGATGCCTGTCCAGTCCCATTCTTCTGAGCCCCTCTGTTGAGATTTGGCTTCTCCTGCGGCGCGGAGTGCTCTTGGGAGGCCACGGTGATCCCTGTATTGCCCTGGCTACCGTTTTCAGTGTAATAGAGGTCTTCATCCTGAATGGGTACATAGATAACAAATGCAGAGTTAGCAAAAGGAAAGGATGGACAGCAGCCAGCTTAGATGCCAAGCAGGAGCTGCGAGGCTGTGAACACCTGCATGGCACATCATAGCAGCAGGCAGGGATACCAGCTTCTGTCAACAGGTAGGAGGTAGGAGACAGGCCTGAACTGTGGCATTGCAGTACTAGGGTTAGGCCCAGTCAGAGAGTTATTTCTTCTCAATGACCTAAAAAGCAGAACACCCTGGTTTTTGTGCTGTTCAGATAAACAGGACTAGGCTCTGCCTTCCTTGGGAGTTTGCACACCCAGCCCTGGTTTCTCCAGCTCTATTTTCCACATGGGTCAGGTAGGAAACATTTGGAATATATCCTTTCCTATCTTCAGCCTGCAACTCAGATAAGCAGCTTTCAGTAATGAGATAGCAGGGGCTTAAGCCACACATTCGACAACTTAAATTTGGATACATGTGGTGGTCTACACACACACATATTATTATTACCCAACTAGTCAAGTGCATTAAGAAGCAGAGGCAGGTTTCACCTGCCTCTGAAGCAGAAGGTACGAGACAGTGTTGTAGATCAGACTAGATGGACCACTGCTCTTGTTCTGCTGTGACAGCTCTGAAGGCCCTAAGTGCAGCAGATCTGACAATAAGGCCAGCGAGAGCCAGGGGCATGGGGCTGTAGGTGAAGTACACTTGCCAATAGAGTGTATCAGGAAGGAGATGCAGGCTGTCAGAGTCTGAGGCCCTCTATTTGCCCACAAAGCCATGTACAGCATAGGCGGCAGGAGGGCAAACTTCCCACCCACTCAGTCCCCTCCCAATATGCCTCAGTCCTGCCCTGGAATGGATATCTCTTACACATAAGTGGAGTTCAGGATCTATGGCCCAATTTACTTTTTGGCTTCTTTGCTGAAACTGTCAACTGTGGTGATGGTGGTGTTTGTGATGGAGACACCTGTCCACTGGAAACTGGATTAAGATCACCAGGCTTATTTAACATAGGGAACACCAAATCACCATTCGATACCAGTGACTTTCAGTCACTGCCAAGCTGGGCCAGGAGGTTGGATCCAGTGCCCTAGAGGTGACAAGCTCTGTATCGCATTACCAAGCCCCTGACCATATCATCCACTATACATGCACTGTCATTTGCATTCATGCATTTGGCAGGATCCATCCCAGAATACTGAACTCTATTACCCTCCCACTGTATAACTGCACATGTGCAACTAGATGAACATGCTCTGACTGCACTTCATAGAAAAATTCAAGTCTCCATAAATCAGTGATAAAGGAGGAACCCCCGGAACTCAGCAAAATCTGTAAGAGGAAAAATATATATAGGAAAATATTTTCTTTCTTTCTTGATATTCTTTATTATCCCCATTTGTTAAATGGGGGAAACAACCTTTATTACAGCATAGATACAAGTCAGATGTATAATTTGATTTTTAAATGTAATGATTGAAGAAAAGTATTTCATTTTCAATGGCAAATTCACAAGCTTTCAGAGTCTCTGGAGGAGTCTTCCCAGATGAGTTCTTACTGCCAGGCAAAAAAAAGTGTTAGACCTGGAAGTGATAGGGAGCAAAGGGTAGTTATCCCCAAATGAACAGTCACAGAATATTTAATATTAGAGAGGAAGAGAGATTTCCTTTCACTCTTCATGATCTGGGCTCTAGCACAACTGTTTATGCCTCTCTTATCTCCATCTCCCCATTCACCACTCTCAGGCTGGATCAGTCACAGGCTCACCAAGTTTTCAGTTTCCCTGTCGGCCTGCCTGTAGTGGCACTTGTTAGGGGGCTTATTTTTTTTACCCTCTTACTTCCCTGGTCCTTCTTGCATGAACAGAGAGCAACAATACTCTAAGCCCCCTAACATGTTGACTAAATTTCCTTTTACATGTTCTAGGCTCTTTCCTTTCTCTGAAGGTAATAAAAATATTAAAACAAAATTGTATTCCTAACAGCCCAATAGCACCTTATTTTTATGTAACTAGTTTAAAATGTAAAAATGTGACCGTTCACTTCTCAGCTTATGGCTGCCTCTGCTGCTTAGCCAAAGGCCTTACTTAAACTAAAAACAAAGCCTCAGGCTGTCCCTTACACATACAAAGAGTAATTTTAATTCTTTCTTTTATACCTCTATAACTAGCTAAGTAATAAGAATACACCTGCATTCTTAAAGTATAGGCCTTTACAAACAGGCCTGAATATCTATATCCTAACAGCACTCCAAGCAACAAGCCGTCTTGTCGCACCTATTGATACATTCATAAGCTATAGGCAACTTGTACAGAACATAAGCGGAGCCTCTCTCTCCCCCCAAACAGAGACTGTTAGTGGCGCTTAGAGGTCTTTGGCAGTGGGTCACTCCCTTAGAGAGCTTGTGACTCAGTTGCATTCCCTCCTCCGCATTCCTCCTGTATTTTGGTTTCTCTCTACTTGTTGTTTTGCCAGATATAAGCACTAACCAGCCTCTCTCCCCTGGGGCTCCAACTCCGTCGTTTCATAAGGAAGTATCCAGCCAAACTCAGAAACGCCAGCAAGAGTCCAGATGTGACCAAGGCAATCAGCGTGTTCCGGGGAATGTTCTGGTGGCGTCCAATACTCTCCAGTTGATGGGATTTTATTCCAATCTGGAAATATACCAAACAGAGCCAAGAGTCTCATAAACAGGAAACTCGTGCATGCACATCTGCTGAGAGCACTCCATATTTTAAAGACACAACTTTGTCTTCCACCCCAGTTCTTTTTAAATATATAAACAAACGGTATATATATAGTATATATATATATATACACACACACACACACACACACACACTGTATAAACACACACACACACACACACTCACAGGGCTTGACCCATCTCCCAAGGAAACCAGTGGAAAGACACTCATTAGCTTCAGTGGGAGTTGAATCAGAGCGTTAGAGACAGGCTGACAGCCCCCAAGTCCAAGATTCTCCCTCCCCAGGTCAGCTACAGCACAGGCCAAAGCAGTGCAAGCTTTCCCCACACTGCCCCACCACTGTGCCTTACCCCTGACCTGCAGGCACCAACTCTAGGGGTAAGAAATCCACTGGGCATTCAGTCCTTGGCCCCCCTGCTGAGACTGACAACTTTTCTGGATGAGAAGCAATGCAGAAGCACAGTTTTGTATAATTATTATTCTCTCCATCTCCTGGACCCTGGGTTGTGCACTCTGCTGAGCCTACGCACCCAGGATTGAAGGACCTCACAGCTCATTTGCATTCTAAGCATCCTCCTCAGTACCCCGCGTTTAGCTCCCCTAAAAGGAGTTTTCGCCCACCATGAGAACGTTGAGACTTAGAGCACAGAGGCAAGAACTTAGTTCATGTTTAGCTGCTGGGTGCCATTTTTTACAGGCACCTGGAGTTCAGCTTTACAAGGTATTGCGACCTCACTGGTGTATGGGGGGGAGGGATAGCTCAGTGGTTTGAGCATTGGCCTGCTAAACCCAGGGTTGTGAGTTCAATCCTTGAGGGGGCCACTTAGGGATCTGGGGCAAAATCAGTACTTGGTCCTGCTCGTGAAGGCAGGGGGCTGGACTCGATGACCTTTCAAGGTCCCTTCCAGTTCTAGGAGATGGGATATCTCCATTAATTTAATTTTTAATTTAATTTAATAGGGAAGATTAATGTCAGTATGGCACTTTGAAGAGTTATTATTGGTACCCAGGTCCTTTAAAAAAAAAATACTACAGTACATGACAGTAATCATCCAAAGCACTGCAGCATACAGTAGTGAGACCGGAGGACTCTGTGGTAATGGTTGTAGAATGCTATAGTGAGCGTGTGCATATACACACACACACACACACATATATATATACACACACACACACCCTGAATTTTCAGAAGTGACAAGTGATTTTCGGTGCCCAACTTGAGACACATTACAAGGCCTTGATTTTCAGAGGGTAGATGCGCAGCTGTTTCTAAAAATCAGGCTCCAGTAAAGAGCCTCAAGTTAGACACCCAAAAATCACTAATTACTTTTGAATATTTAGCCCCCCCCCTTTTTTTTAAATAAGGGATACACTGGCAATGGGTATTTCATACATATTTTGAAGTAAATAAAGTAATACGGTAAGAGATTCTGCTACTGGGCTTAGAAAACACTTGATAGTGACTTCAGAAAGTTCATGAAAAAAGAACAGGAGTACTTGTGGCACCTTAGAGACTAACAAATTTATTAGAGCATAAGCTTTTGTGGGCTACAGCCCACTTCTTCGGATGCATAGAATGGAACATATATTGAGGAGATATATATATACACACTTACAGAGAGCATGAACAGGTGGGAGTTGTCTTACCAACTCTGAGAGGCCAATTAAGTAAGAGAAAAAAACGTTTGAAGTGATAATCAAGATAGCCCAGTACAGACAGTTTGATAAGAAGTGTGAGAATACTTACAAGGGGAGATAGATTCAATGTTTGTAATGGCTCAGCCATTCCCAGTCCTTATTCAAGCCTAAATTGATTGAATCTAGTTTGCATATCAATTCCAGCTCAGCAGTCTCTCCTTGGAGTCTGTTTTTGAAGCTTTTCTGTTGTAAAATAGCCACCCGCCGGTCTGTCATTGAATGGTCATTCAATGACAGAAAAGCTTCAAAAACAGATTCCAACGAGAGTGCCACAAGTACTCCTGTTCTTTTTGCGGATACAGACTAAACACGGCTGCTACTCTGAAACCTGTCAGAAAGTTCACGGTCTTCCCAGAGGGAAAATGCTGAAGTGATTCTGGTTCCAGGATCCCTAAACAGATGTGGCTTCTGGTTAGGTCTGCAATGCCTCAGGAATTCCCTGTCAGAAGATTTCTACAGGATGAGTGTAGGGCTGCCATCTGTTCTGGTTTTCCCAGGATCATCCATTTTTAAGGTAGCTGTCCCAGGAAATCTGTAAGGGTGCTCAGTACGCACTGTCAGCTGTCCAGTTTTATGGGGTCAGGATCATCCCAGAAATGTCCTGTTTTATGTACCTCAGAGGTGGCAACCCTAGATGACTGGCTCATTCAACATTTTGAGCCCCTTTTGTACCAACCTGTGTGTTGCAATAGAATATGGCAACATTCTTTGAAGTGCCACCTTGTTAGTATCGGAGGACCTACAAGGCACCATCGGAGGTGTATTATTCCTCACGTACCAGGGACATAAATCAGTGCTTAGATCAAAATATGTTTAGAGCACATAAACAATTTGATTAGTACAGACAGTGAAAGATCCCCTTGTTTCTCCCCAAAACAGATACAGCCTAGTAAGCCTCCTCTACACATTGTTCCCTAGAGGTGGTCAGAGGTCAGTCAAAGGGGTTTGATCTCTGCAGCCCATTGGTGTCTGTGTCCTGTGATTGCCAGCCAGAATGCCCATTAAAGTGGCGTGGTGCTGTGAATACCTATGCACTGGTATCTGGACTGAAACCATCTTATTTACATTTGGTCACCAAATGCCCCTGAGTTAGTGACAGTTTTCAGTTACCACCAACCTGGGCTGGATTTGAACTATCAGTAAAAGACTACTTTATCCTAGCCCACAAAGCCATCCAGTCTCCCATGCTTAACTAGCTTAAAGCATTTACCTTAATTAGATCAGGCTGCCGTTCTTGGAGGAGCTTTTCTATTGCATCTGCATCTGCAGTTTTCAAAACAGAAAGGTTGTGACACAAATGCCAACAAGTCAATACCTGCAGTTTACATCAGTATTGAAGAGGCAAAGGAGAAGCTGTGAACTCCCCACTCATTCTGCAGGAAATGGTGTGACTCAATATAAGCCAAATAAATCTCTGGTTAAACTCACTTAATAGAGAAAGGAAAACAACAGTTACAGAGCTGATATGTTCTCTGAGAATTCTGCTTTCTAGTCTGTGCTTTAGTGTTAGTTTTTCTAGCATATGTTCAGATACCCCCAGCTCTGCCTCCACAAACAAGTCATATATCCCCACTGCCCACCAACAGTTAACCTCCCTCTTTCCCACAGAAGTCCCCACTTTCCTTCCTATCCCCCATATACAGACCCAGCGATCACCACAAAATCCAGAGACATTGGTTCCACTAACCTTTCATGCCAGCCTGAATGAGCAGCATGCAAAAAGGATCCACCTCAGATCTGGCGAGTTCAATGTGGCATGGGGGAGAAGAGAAGCGATTGTAGGGTGAGGTTGTGTCACAAATCACCATACTTAAATTTTCTCCCTTTGTCTTTCGAAAATTATTCTGCAAAATTTCCAGAAAGAAAGAGTTATTAAAAGAAACCAGACAAACCCACACATGATCTCCCTCAATGATATCTAAAATATATCACTAGCTTGTGTTATTGTTATCAATCTATCATTTATATTGCAATAGTGCCTAAGGCGTTCTTACCAGATCTGGACCCCATTGTGCTAGGCACTGTACAAACATATAGCCAACACCAGTCTAACATCAGCTCAAACTGGGAAGCAGTCTGATCCAAAGGACTGAGCAATGGACTGGGACCCAGGGACCACAAACACCAATTCTTCCTCTTCCACTAACTTATGTGACCTTGGGTGAGAAATGTCACTTCTCTGTGCCTGTTTTCCCATCTGCCAAATGGGAATTTTGATACTTACCCACCTCACAGAACAATTTTATGCTTGTAAAATAAATTTTAAATATTAACAAAAATTTAAAATTTTATTTTTACCAAGCCTAAATTTGGGGTCTAAGGTGCTTAGGTGTGTCCCTTTAAATCTCAGAATGAGAAAGAAGCCAAGGGAGCCTTTATTGTTTTGAAATTGAAGGCACTGTCTGCCCCATTGTCATCAACTAGGAGAAGAGGGAAATAACAAAGAAACATTGGCCTTCCTGTTTAGGAAATGCATTTAGTATTTCTGATGGGTTGTTGATCAAAGACCGAGCAAAGAATAAAATCTTCTCACTTTGAGCATTAAAACGACCCCTCTACTTAAAAACAATAGTGACTCTTGGGTGGAGGAAGGGAAGAGTGGATTGCAGCTTTTTCCTCCTCTTGACCAACTTGTACACCAAACAGGATGGACCTTCTCCTGAAACCTGTGTACACACATACCCTGGATTGGGATTAGGGCTGGACTTTGCTAAAACAGGGTCACCATTTCTTAAAATACTCTATCATGGAGAGGGCTGGACAGCTCAGAGTGGCTGCTTAACACTTTCTAAAATCAGGCCCCTCAAATGTGTGTCACATTGGGGACCCAAAAGATGGAGGCACCAAAATCACTAGCCCAGTGGTTCCAAAACATTTTCCGTGCATGGCCCCATTTTTAGCTATATTGCTTCCCGTGACCCCAAACAGCATGGAGGATGCCATTTAAAAATGGTGTCTTCCATGCAGCATGACCTTGCATGCACCAGAGATGGATTATGGTTTTGTGAGGCCCTGGGCCAGAGCAAGTGGGCCCCTCCTTCCACCTGCAGTTCCCCCAACCCCTCTGCCCCTGTGACTCCTGCCAGGGAAATGGGGTTAGGGCATGGGGGCTTGCTCCCCTCCCCTGCAGCACTCCTGCCAGGAAGCAAAGTTGGGGCGTGGGGGTTTGCCCCGCTCTGCCCGCCCGGCAACCCCACTCCCTGGCAGGAGTGCAGGCAGGCAGAGCGGGGCAAGCCCCTGAACCCCAACCCCTCTCCCTGGCAGGAGTGCCGGCTGGCTGGAGTGGATCCAGGTGTGAGGGTGCCCATTTTTCTGGGGGGCCCCCCAATTGGCCAGGGCTCCTGGGCACAGGCCCCATTGGCCCAGTGGCTAATCTGCCACTGACATGCACATACGTGTGCAAGGTGATGCTGCATGGAAAGCACCATTTGGTAGAGCAAAATAGCCTCCTCCATGCGGTTTGACCCTGCACGTACAGTACATGTGACATCATGCTGTGTGGAGGACACCATTTTGTAAAATGCACACTTTGAATTGCCACAGTCACATTTACTGATGGAGCTACCCCACTTGGGGTTGCAACCCAAGGTTTGGGAACTGTTGCACTAGTCACTTTTAAAAAACATTGGCCTAGCTAAGCGCCAAATAATACAAAACCTCCCAGTCACACCAGTAAAACTATTTATACTGGCTTGTTGTGAAAACAGAAGGTTTAAAACAACCAGTTAGTACTATTTCCATATAGTTTGTTTTGGGGTTGGGGGACTGAGATGGGAGGAAAGACCTGTGTATTTTCTTTTGTCTGCTGTGGAAAGAATGCTTGAGAGTGTTAGAGTTTCCTTTGCATTTAACAGAGACGGATACCAGATTATTGCATGCGTGCCTTGGGAAAGGCCAGCAGGAAAAAGGAGAAACGACTCAGCGCCCTCTATCTACTCTCCTCTCAGACAGTTATCTGGTTCCCAGGTTCAGCAGCTAACCCAGCTTGGAGGCCAAATAGTTTTTTCCATGCAATGATTAGTTCAGGTGGAGGCATGGGGAGAGCCCTGCCATGGGATAAGGGTTTCTGGAAAAGCCATTGTTAAAACTGGTGTGGTTTAAAGCATTTCATATTTGGGGATTCCAAGTGTATGAGCAGTCAGATGCGACTTGCAAGAGTAGCTAGAATCCAAGGGCAGAGGACATGTGTCAAACATACTGTGTGATTTGCCCAAGGTCACATGAGAAGTCAGTAGCAGATGCAGGAATTGAACACTGAGTCCCAGTCCAGTGCCTTAACTTCAATACCATGCTTTAAAATTTATTTTTATTATTTTATTTTTAGTTGTTTAGATTTTCCAGCATTTCATTCAGTCCCAAGGGTGAGCACAATTAACAGGACTCATTTACTAACTTACCTTTAACTAAATACACCCAATTTCTTGGACAGTGAATCTCAACCAGAATATAGAAATATATAAAACCTCATATCTGACAATGCTGTCTGTTTACTGCCCACTAGATGGCATCTGTGTTTATGGTCACTCAATCCCATAGGGGTTTCAACATGAATTGTTGCTAAAATACTTTCAGCATGAATGTAAACAGGCAGAAATGCCAGTTAATAGGTAATTTACAAGGAAAAGTCAATAGAATAAGAATCTAGCTCCCCCTCCCACCCCTCCAAGTGATCTCAGTGTGGCTGGCTAGTGGAGGTAAAATTAATCACTGTAATTTCACACCAGTCGGCAGTAGGGTGACCAGACAGCAAGTATGAAAAATCGGGATGGGGGTGGGGGGTAATAGGAGCCTATATAAGAAAAAGACCCAAAAATCGGGACTGTCCCTAGAAAATCGGGACATCTGGTCACCCGAGTCGGCAGTCCCACAAGATTCTTTACCATCTAGCATTTGTCTCAGGTCTTCACTTGCTGCACAGTGAGTTTATTCCCCTCCAACTGCACCTTAGCTGATCCTTCCCCATTAATCTCATTTTAGTTTTACAAATAAGTAATTGCGCTAACAGTTTCCAGCTGGACCAGTTCAAACAGACCTGGGATACCCTTCAAAGCCATTGAACTGGGGCAGTGAGGCCCAGGTTCCACTGTACCCCCCTCGTCTGACCCAATTTCCTCTCCATGCCAGCTGGCAGTAAGGGGAGAGGAGGATGGTGAGGTGGAGGAGATAACGTGTGCAGGACTGGTATAGGTGTGTGTGTGTGTGTGTGTTTGTGAATGGTGGTTTCCTGTTAAACAGGAGGAGACAAAGGAAGTTGAGGTGGCCCCAGGTTGCACCATGATGGAGGGGGACATCACTGAATTCCTCCTGGTGACTCTTGTTGTCTCCGCTGTGCTCAGTCAGCAGCAAGCAGTTTGCATTCCCCACCCCATGGGAATGGAGCACAAGCCGTAAATACCACACTAACACGCCAGGCACCATCAGCTTTGCTGGCCCCTTGTGCCTGTAAGTTTGACATGATGGTAAGAACCTGCCCCCAAGACCTCACACCGTTCCCACGCAGCTTTAAAACAAGTGGCCATTCAGCCTACCTGCATAGATGCTACTTACACATGTGTCGGGCTCACTGAGATGCAAGCAGATCACTCTGGGCTTCTTCACATGTTTAATATTCTGGCAAGCAGAGGTGTAGTTGGGCTAGAAAGTAAAACAAAATACTGCTGCATTTGTAAATTGCATAGGTACAGAGAGACAGGTCAGGACACATGGCTGCATCTCTCAGGCAAGTCTTTGAAGCTCCTAGATAACAGGCGTCTTTCTATTGCTGTATTCAGAATGGTTGGGATTATGACCCCCAAACCCTATTTTATCATGGAGTTTTCCAGGCCACCTCTTGTCATTACACTGCAGGAGATGGAATGGGCAGGCAGTCTCTACAGAGCTGTTCTCTAGATGACCTGCATGTATCCAGGTTCCCTGCATCCTGGCCCCTAGGTGTAGCATAACTGCACCAGCTCTGCTGTCTGCAGCCTTGACTTGGATTCAGCCCATTATGATTCACATCCTTAGGCTGAGGTGGCTTGCTCTGCTCCCCAGCTGGTTGCTAGTCCTTAAAAACTCTGCAGAGAAAGGTTCCAACCCCACCTCTCTGGCAATTCTAGCCCTGTAACATCTATTGCCAAAATAGCCCTATTGAACCTATCCCCTGTAGCCTGCTTGTCTCAAGATGAAAAGCATCATTGTGGTAATAGACATGCCCTCTGAAAAACTGTTTTAATGGCAAACCTCACTGTATCAGGAAGGCAGGACAGAGCAAGCGGGAACAGACTGAACTGCAGCAGGGAAGATGTAGCCAAAGGACATGAGATCACTATGGCTGGAGATACTCCAGACTAGGCTAGAAATTCATCTATTGGGGATAGTTTGGGGAGAGTGAGAACAATTCTGCAGCAATGTCAGAGGCAGCCCACTATAGGTTCCTTGCAGCCCAAAGAAATCTATGATATGCACTGCCCTACCAGCCGTTCCACTAGAAATGTGTTTGTATCAGTTGCTGAATCCCTTATAACACACTCGTCAATCCGAGAAGTGTGTTTGGTCTGATGATGTGCTATATCTAGGCATTCTGGCAAGCGGTCCCATGAAAGACAGCGCCAACCAGTAACCCCTGGCAATTCTCTAATGCCTTCAGGGGATCTCAGAACCATTAATGAATATAGCCTCAGAGCACCTGAGGGATAGGGCAGTCTCATTAGCCCCATTTCACAGAGAGGGGGAAAGTGACCTGCCCAGTGTCACAAAGGGAGTTTTTGGGAGGGCTGGGAACAGAATCAAAGTCTCCTGACTCCCAGTCCTGTGCTCCAGCTACAAGGCTCTCCCGTATGTGTGCAGCACTGGATCTGGTTTAACACAGCATGGTACGAACAAACCACGGCTTCTGAAGAAAGTCTTCAGGAACCACATGCTCACCATAGCTCATCAAATGCATAGTCAAGCACTTCCTCCTACCTTCACTGCGCTACTAGGTGGGGGTCCTGTGGTAGCTGAGTGGGAAGTTTGCTCTGTGAGGACAGTAGTAGTGGCTGTCGAAACCATTTCCGAAGTCATGGCTTGTGCTGTCGTGCTGAAAGGAGCATGTGATGTGTTCGGCTGTGAATCGGGAGATGTTTTCACTGACACTGACTGGTCTGACACATCCGTGTGTGCTTGGGTGGGTCCTGCGGAAGTCGCAGGGCTGGTGTCTTCAGTCCCTTTGGTCATTTCAGTAGTACTTGCTTTTCCTACATGGAAAAAAATAGGAGTATGCTTAAGGCCTCTCGAATCAACGCTTGTCATTGTAGTGACTAAACTGCAATATTGATTTGTTATAGCCAGAGGTACTAGAATGTATTATCGGCTGTAGAAAACATGCACATTAGATTTGCTTCATAGTTACCTAATTGTTACATGCACTTATAAGCTGCTTACAGTAGGCTAATATTCTGTGTGTATTCTACAACAGTGTAACGCTGCTATTGCCTGGCTCACCCCCCAACGCTGACCTCCCCAGTGCCACCCCTGCCTTCTCACTGCACTCAGAGCCCTCAAACAAATAGATCTGTTGATTTAAAAAAAAAAAAAAAAGGAAGAGTATGTGTCTCTTTTTAAGATCCTTCAGCTTGAATCCCCTCAAGCCCCTGTCCTATAGCAGAAAAGCAGACATCTTACCTTTAAAGATGCTGTATGCAGAACTCAGAAAGGGAGCGCAGAGACATGTGAGATAACCAGGGCATCTGATCATTATAGTTTAGCCTGCCTGCAGTCCCAGATCTAGTGATCAGACCGCTCCTCCTAAGCATTCACTTTAAAGCAAAGATGGGTTCAAGCTGCAAGTCTTGGATCTAAATCCACACTTCTCTAAAGAACAGAGGTGCGTGGATTTGGGTCCACTATAAAGATAGGAGCTGGAAGCAGCATCTGGAATATTGAAGTATTTCAGGAGCCTGGGGACAAGTTGGGGTTCACATCCGTGGTTCCATACTGGACTCATTTCTAAAATATCATTTTGGTTTAACCATGAATTAAAAGCCCATTTCGATGAGACATTCTGTTCTAAATCATCCTTTGGGTGCCTGCTTAAAGCAAGTTTCACTTTCACATCTTGTAAATTCAATCACTAAAGCACATCAGCAAATGGAAATTGCAGAGAGCATGGAGAATAATTAGCAAGTTCAAATCAATTTCCCATACCTTCTGGTGTTGGTGAAATAGTTTTAGGCTCCATCTTTTCTGTGAGAGTGATAGTTGTTATTGCTGGTGTTACACTGGTGATAGTAGCATTCATCGCTGAAGGTGAGGTAGTGGCTGATGAGCTGTGGTTGTTTCCACCAGAAACTTTATTGTCTGGGGGGGGGAAAGGAGTGTTAATTTATAGCTAAAAAGCACTATATGGCATCTGTTCTAAGAGATGCAGACTGACAGGACTCTGATATTTCAGTCACATGCAACATGAGAGTCCCTTTCTGAGAAGAAATAAGTATGATTTTTGCAATGTTTCTTTTGTTTGTTTGTTTTTACAAGGGGGTTGGGTTTGGTTGCTTCTTTCCCTTTTCTGTTTGAAGGCTTCTGATCCTTGGGCTGCCCACTTGGCACTGACTGTCCTTTTGACACTCGGATCTTGGGCAGCAGAGGAGGGAGGTTTAAGGCCCCCCCATCCCACACAGATACACACTGTCCCCTAGCCTTCATGAAAGGATGACAGACACATAGACTTTAAGGCCAGAAGGGACCATCATGATCATCTAGTCTGATCACCTGCACATAACCCACTCCTGTTATAGACTCATAACCGCTGGCTGAGTTACTGAAGTCTTCAAATCATGGTTTAAAGATTTCACGTTACAGAGATTCCACCATTTACACTCTTTTAAACCTGCAAGTGACCCACGCCCCATGCTGCAGAGGAAGGCGAAAACCCCAAGGGTCTCTGCCAATCTGACCCAGGGGAAAATTCCTTCCCGACCCCAAATATGGAAATCAGTTAGACGCTGATCATGTGGGCAAGACCCAGCAGACCAACACACCCAGGAAAGAATTCTCTGTAGTAACTCAGAGCCCTCCCAATCTAGTGTCCCATCACTGGCCATTGGAGATATTTGTTACTAGCAGTCGCAGATTGCCTACAATGGCATGTAGCCGGTCTCATCATACCATACATACTCTCCATTAATTTATCAAGATCAGTCTTGAAGCCAGTTAGGTTTTTTGCCCCACCTTTCCCCTTGGAAGGCTGTTCCAGAACTTCACTCCTCTGATGGCTACAAACCTTCATCTAATTTCAAGTCTAAATTTATTGATGGCCAGTTTATATCCCTAAACCATTCCCTTCCGCAACAGGATCACTGTACCAGGACTGTCCTGGAGATTGACCACCACTGAGCAGCCCCATGCCACCTTGCGGAAAAGGCAGAGGTCTCTCTGGTATCCTCTGTTAATTATTTGGCTTTGGAAACATTTATTATTTATTCTTTAAAGGGGAGAAAAGGGATTTTTAATAGCTCTTTTCACAAGTAGACAGTTCTTTTCCTTTCCAAAAAAGCTTAACAGCCTTATAATTCATATGGAAGAAATTCAGAGACCAGATCGAACTGGGGCATATCAAAGGCTCAAATGTTAATCTAGTCTCTGTTTGCAACTTTAAACAAGAATGGAGCAGCAACTGGACACGCTGGTCCTGGTCCTACATTAAGCCCATGGGAATACAGAAGTCCAGCTGTGCAGAGCTCAGTGCAGGATTGGACTGTACACTGGCCTAAATTAATAGGTTTGGGAGGAAAGATTCAGCATTTGAAAAAGACCACGTGTGTGCTCTAGGAAAAAGAAATGGAAATTTCAAATATATTCACATTATTGCAGGTACAAACTCCTTCAGGGTTTGATCCAAAGCCCAGTGAAGTCAATAGAAACATTCCCAAAGGCTTTGAATCAAGTCCTTGTTGACTAGAGATGTTGCATCTCTTTGAGGTAAAATGGAACATTTAGAGAAGCATCAAATATTCTAATGTAAAAGTTTGTATATTTCGTAGTAATCACATGATGTGAGATAAATATGCCACCTTTGACTTTGCTTATGTGATATCTGAAGCAAGCCTTAAAAACATTGTTGAAGACTTTTTTCCTCCTGTTTTTCATGCTATTTTATTCCTCTCTGGAAACCTATTTCTGTTTTCCACAAACTGGTTCAATACCTACTTCACATTCTATGTGTTTTTAGATTCTTGTAAAAAATACATTGATTGTCGCATTAGTTTCTATCCAGTAGTGACTGAACTCTAAAACTTGCAAGATAAATTATTTCACCATTATTCATTTTTTCAGAACCTAACAGAGATATTAAGTTCTTTATCAGCTGTTGAGTATTCTAGCCCTGATACATCAAAACACTTAAACTTGTGTTTAACTTTAAGCATGTATGTAAGTCCCATTGAAGTTATGCTTATGTACATGCTTAAAGTTCAACAAATGCTTACTGTTGTTTTAAATGGGAATATTTTCCTGAACTGGAGCCTTAGTGCTTTGCTGCAGTGGGCCCATAATGCTCAGCCCCTGGGAGGATTGAGCCCTAAATCACTTTATGGGATTGATTACAGAAATGGGCTTAATCCATGCTGTTGTCAAGCTAAATATAAAGGAAATATTTTACAATCCAGATTAGGTAATAGACCCTTTAAGAAAGAAAACTGACCCTTGTCTTGTAACTTCATTAGATGAAAATTGCCAACTGTTGATACTGGAAATTCTAAAGTCTGAGTATAGGGTTATGTTAAGAAATATAATTTTGATTGTGTGTGCGCACATGGGAGAAATATTGGAATGCCGAGGAGTTGCCAGCTACACAAGCAAAACACATGAGGAGGTAGATTCAGAAGACCGTGTTGAGATGTCTCTGGCAAATGTTTGGGAGCATTTCAGTCCTCCATGATTCATGCCTCATGTGAATCCTTCATAATCTTGCAAAACATACAGTCAGTACTGAGAAAAACTGGAAGGATTTTGTCATGAGACAATGAAATGATTGGAAAAGCATATAAAGAAGGGAGAGAAATTCACTGCAAATAAGAATGACACAAATGTTGCAAGGAACCCACTACAAGACAGGCTTCAGGGGCAGGAATCGTATTTCAAGTACGTCTTGCTAAAATAATAAATAAAATAATGAAAAGATTGATGTATGTGATGCCTTTCATTACAGGATGGGGTCGGATTAACCAGTTAGAACATAAAAGAGTGGGTGAACTGGGATTCAGTTTTCGCCTTGAGAGCGTATCTGATGGCGAACTGACACTACTCTCAGTCATAGGTAAAAGGCAGAGAAGAATTTTGAGGCCAATGTAAAACTTTCCATGGAAACCCAGAGAGAATTCTGCATAATGGGAGATAATATAGGAGGGCCTTACTACAGACTCCTGAGAATAGGCTTGGTACATACATTCATAGATTCTAAGGCCAGAAGGGACCACTGTGATCATCTAATCTGACCTCCACAGGCCAGAGAAGTCCCCCAAAATAATTCCTAGGGCAAAGCTTTTAGAATAAACATCCGATCATGACAATTAAAAAATGGTCAATGATGGAGAATCCACCACAACCCCTGGTCCATTGTTCCAATGGTTAACTACTCTCAGTGTTAAAAATTTACACTTTACAATTTACTCTCAGTTTGTCTAGCTTCAACTTCCAGCCATTGGATTGTGTTATACCTTCCTCTGCTAGACAGAAGACCCCATTATTATATATTTGTTCCCCATGTAGGTACTCATAGACTGGAATCAAGTCACCCCTTAACCTTCTCTTTGTTAAACTAAATAGATTGAGCTCTTTGCGTTTCTCTCTCTAAGACAGGTTTTCTAATCCTTTAATCATTCTTGTGGCTCTTCTCTGAAACTTCTCCAATTTAGCAACATCCTTCTTGTAATGAGGGTACCAGAAATGGACACAGTATTCCAGCAGTGGTCACATCAGTGTCAAATATAGAGGTAAAATAACCTCTCTGCTCCTAGTAGAGATTCCCCTGTTTATGCATCCCAGGATTGCATTAGCTCTTTTGGCCACAGTGTCACACTGGGAGTTCATGTGCAGCTGATTAGCCACATAAAATACCACAGAATTCACGCAGCAGCACATTCCAGGCAGAAATCAAATATTCCATTTTAATAATCAGTTGGTGTATTCTAAACATAAAAAACCCACTCAACTGCCATGTCAGGATGGATAAAGGGTCCATCTAGTCTGCTATTCTGTCTCCAGTCAAGGCTTGATGGTTCAGAGGAAGGGATAAACCCCTAAAATATAGCTAATTATGCAATACACAGGGTAGTGTTCAGCATTAAACACCAACAATCAATTCTATGAGAGTAGCTTCAGAGTGCAGCCCCCCATCTTTGAGCTTCACAGACCTTTGGTTCATTACTGAAGTTCAATTCAGGCAAAGTCCTGCAGTCCACATAGGCTGAAAGGACGTTGACATTAAAGGCAGTATTGTTTGTATAGGGACTGCATGATTGGCCCTCACACTTCTAGCCAAACTGATCTGTTAATTCAAGGCCCTCATCCGGCAAAGAGAACTGCACAGTTAGACCCCTGAAACCACGTTCAATAAAGTTGCAGGATTGGAGCAACTTTGTGTCTATGGATTTACTGCAACTCTGCATCCTCATTGAAGAAAATGTTCAGGCTACATTCCATGGCATCAACAACATAGAGGAAACTCACAGCGACCCCGCACCCTGTCAGATATTTCACACACAGTTCATAGTCTTTCCAACGCATAGGGGCGGCATTAACATCTGAACACTGTGTGTACCTTTTCCTCCTCGTGCCTATGTTCAGAGTTTCCTTCATGTTGGCAGCCTTAGTATATGGAAATGGTTACAATGAGGTAACTGTGAAGTCTATCCTCCATCTGTACCCCCAAAAGAGAGCAAGTACACACAATGTTAACGGGGAGACCACAGAACAGCTGCACGCTCTCTCTTAACCCCTTGCTGGCAATGAAGAGGACCCCTGCTTTATTCATCTGGAGCAGCAAAAAGCACCCGATACACACAGATTGTACCAAGTCAACTGGTTGCATCTCCATGGTGCTTTCTCAAGTGCTTTGCATGTGCTAACATCACACCTTTAAATATTAGTCTATATGAGGCCTGAAAAGGTTTGTGTCATTTTAAAGATCTTCTCAGGAAGGGGAAGGTTTTCATAAAGAAGAGGAGGTATTTATGTGTAGATATTATCCCAACCAGTTATGTTCTCAAGAAAACTTATATCCTGCATTTTTACTTGTCTTCCAGTTAAGAAGAAAGCATAGATGACAATAAGAAATGTGAGAGGCATTTATTAGAAAACAT